TATATATATGTTGTTTGCTGTAGTGATATGTCGTTTAGATTATCATAATTGGCAACAACTATATAACAACTATATGTAAGGCTAACAACAGTATGTATTCATGTTTAATAATATCGATATAATTTATATATAATAATAATTGTCATTCACTTCAAATAGTTGCTAACAAACAAACAAACAAAAAAATTAAACAAATTTTTCTTAAATATGAAATCTAATGCAACGAAAATAATAAATCTCATGATTACTACTACAACTACTACTACTATTGTATGTCATGTTTGCCAATAAAACATAATATACTGTATAATAATAATAATAATAATACAATCCATATATGTTGTGTGCACTTTTTTTGCCCATCAATTCATACATAATTTGATTATAATAATAATAATACAACAAAATTATTAGACAATACAATCAAATTTGGGAAATGAATATAAATATATATATAAAAGCAGTTGTATTTCCCAATAATAAAATTTAATTATCCATCCATTTTCAATATAGTGACTGATTTTATATATAATGGTAAAGGTTTTCAAAATTTATTTATACAGTATATATTAAATTTTATTATATAACATCACAATATATATATATAATAAAGCCATATTTATATACAATATTTACAATATATGGTATATACATATATACTTAATTATTATAAGTACATCATAAAAACTATTATATTTTTTTCACAATAAAGTGAAAGTTTATAGAAAATAAGTATTTTTTTATAGTTGAAAGTACTATATGTATAAAGTATGTATAATACCCATTAAATATATATATATATATATATATATAAGACAATTGCTATTGTTAGTTTGTTGAGTGTTATGTTATTTTTGTTGTTGAAAATATTTAGGAGACTTATCTCTCAATAACTTTTATTTCATTTACCAGTAATATACATAATAAATAGGATATATAAAAAAACACTATTACTAACATTTAGTATAGTATTAAGCAATAATAATGTTAAGTGTGTGTATGTATGTGTGATGAAAGGCATCTAAAAAATATTATTATATCTTATAATGAGTGAAATAAATTTTAATCCAACAGTTTTTATTACTACATAATCAACACATTTAATACATAAATAGCATATATCTTCAAAAATCATATTTCATAGTTCATAGTATGTGTTCATAAAAAAATAATATACAGTATATATTGTGTATAAATATATATCTATATATACAATACAACAATACATTTCATTGAGTGAATAATAATAATAATCACTAATGATTGCAAACATACTGTATATCTATATATAAAAAAAACAAGTGGTGAGAAAACATATATCATTAAACACATAGGATATAATAATATAGTAAGATATCAGCACAATAAACAAAAAAAATAAAGTTTAAAAATGAAAGTCCATTATTGCATACCTGGGCATTTGTAAAGGCATTATATATATATATACTGTATATACAGTATTAAAAAAAATCTCGTGTTATTCAACGATAACATCACACAACATATCATACATAGTATTGTGGATATGATACTGCATTTTCACATATCTATAATATACTATTTATACCATATATACAGTATATATATATATATATTTGATAATAAAATTGCTTTATAAACACTAAACTAAGTATATCATAAAAATAAATTAAACAATATACTGTATATTTATATATATAAACTGAAGGTCGACTATTTAATATATTTTTTTTTATATATCTACTACTATTATAAAAATAAAATGTTTTTTACTATATTTTATTATTATATATATACAGTATATATGCTGACACATAAAATATAATTTCGTTTTATATACAGTATTATACACTATTACCTCTCTCTCTCTCTCTCTCTCTCTCTCTCTCTCTCTCTCTCTATTGATATTATAATATATATGATAAATACTACACAAGAGTGGTATTATAATGGTATATATCACACACCATCTCATATCTAATGCTCTCTCTCTCTCCCCTAATATAACATTACGAAACAATCAATAAAATTAAAAGAAATAAAATAAAATGATAAGTAAAAAGTAAAATACAATCTCTCTCTCGAAAATAAATTTTAAAATGTTTTTGTTATTTATTAAAATTATATTATTCTAATAAATTTTTTAAAATGATTAAATATTATATTATGTTGCCTGCTTTTAAGAAAATAATAAAATAATTTTTTATTATTGACGAAAATACCAAACATTATTAAAAATTAAAATTGTGCTATTTTGGAAGACAAATTTAGACCTAATTTTAGAAAAAATTATTTATTAAAAATTGTCATTTGATAAACTTACTGATTTTTACAAAAAAATAAACATCAAATATTACTCTTTAAAATTAATATTTTTTTGTTTAAATTTATTTTTATTTTAAACATAAAAATATCAAAAAAGATTACTGTTTTCTCTCTCTCTCTCTCTCTCTCTGTTTCGTTGTTAAATCTCTCTCTCTCTCTCTCTCTCTCTCTCTCTGTTTCGTTGTTAAAATTCTCTTATAAAACCCATTAAAAAATAAAGGATTTTTTCAAGTTTTTTATTTATATAAATATATAAAAGTTGTATTATAAAACTTTATACTTTAAATGTATTTGTATTTTTCTCAGTAAAAAAAATAAAATAAAGAGAGATATAAAATAAAACTTTAAAATTTAGTTTTTTAAAGACAAATTCAATCAACAATTTTATTTCAACTGTAAAAGAGATAGCATTTAGTTTGTAGAGCTCTTAAATAATAATAATAATAAAGTTTTCATAAAATCTATGAAATGATAGGCAAGTTATTTACAACAAATAAGTCTATCTCTCACTCCACTCACTATCACCCGTTTTGAGACACATACCAGTGCCAGTATTATTATATAAAAAAAAAATGTTACCAATTTTGTAGATACTGTATGACATTAATATCTGATGCCATCACACATACATTATGACACACACACACAGCAACAGCACATCCATTAGCGGCAGCGACAGCCAAGAAAAAGGCTATACTTTATTATATGTAAGTATTGATAGAGAGAGAAAAAAAAGACTATTTAATAAATAATATCTTAAAAAAATACTAGTCTTAAGATGACTGAGTGAATGAGTATTACCACTCACTCAGTCACACTCATACAGTATGTATGTATATAAGTACAGTATATGAGCGCATAGGCCATCATCATCATCAGCAGCACCAGTAGTAGTACCAGTGCTTAAATACATCAAGAAATGGCAGATAACGAGTGGTTGTGTGTGTGTGTGTGTATCGTTAGTAACAGTGCACTCAATGGCTATACAAAGTGTACAATATATATATAAATATATAAATGGATGTATTTATAGAGTTAAAGACTAAGTTGGTGATGTTGGGGGGGGGGGTAGGAACTGGCATTTAATAGGGGGTAGGGACCAAACATGTAATGAGCGACCAGTGCTTGGATGTAGTACTGTATGTGCAGCACACGAGAGATAACAGACACATACAGACAAAAATAAAGTATATATTAGTTGACTTCAACTTCTTCTTCAAACTTCTTGTTTTCGCCGATAAAAGACAAGAATAACTGGTATTTTTCAAAGACATTGCCAACCAATTCAAGTGTCAGTCAATTCACATCCAATAGTTTTTTTTTTTTGAAAAAAAGTTTCGATACCTAATAGTGGAGTTGTCTATTGAAAAACGACTCTCTCTTTTCATTTCATTTTATATTTTTTTCTTTCATTTTCTTTACTACTTATTCTGATTGCTTAATAGGCTTATACTGTACTTATATGTTAGACACCATCATCATCATCATCAACAACATCAATGATGATGATGGCACTGGTATATCAAAAGTTACATAAAAAATAACCTGCCATTCAATTCAATGTGTTTGAAATAAAATGCTGTTTAAGACAAGTCTTATGTGAGATGCAAATGAAATGATGAACCACTTTGTATAGACCTCTCTCTCTCTCTCTCTCTCACTTCAAAAAAAGTTTAATACACTCTCTATTTTTTTTTGTATAGTTATTATCATTCATAAAAAACAGCACACATTTCATTATATCAAATACAATACAATAAAGAAATGGATGTCCAATAATATATATATGAAATAGCGAAACGTCTATCAAAACTCTCTCTCTCTCTCTCTCTCTCTCAAACACATAAGAGATTGATAGCTAATAATAATATAAGAAATAATAAGAATAATATAAAAACTAAAATAAATAACTCCAAGAAAAAAAATTTCAATAACAAACAAAACAAAACAATATATATATATATATATATATATATATATATATATATATATTCGTGAATTCAATAGATTTCTCATTCAATCCTAACAAACAAAATATATAAAAACCCCTTATAATAACAAGTGAAGTACAAAAAATTGATTTTCCCATTATTTTCATATTATATATCAACTAACAAAAAAAAACTAGAAATAACTTTTGTATAATATTATATATATATATATATATATTAATATTATAGATGCCCTCATCAATTGCCATTATTAATTAGAATATATATATATTTAAAAAAATATATAGAAATAATAATTTATATATCAAACAAACAACAAAAATGTTAGCGTATATACAACAATACAAATACCACTCCCTTTTTTTAAAAAAAAAAAAACATATTAAATACCTATTGTTAACAAAAACTAAAATATATATCTATATAATAAAATGATTCATTTTTTTCTAATAATATAACAACAAAAATAATTAATTTAATGCAATTGTTATCAATAATACCAACAACAACAACAAAAATCGTGTAAACCATTTCTCTAAAAAAATTTTTGATATTTTATTTTAAATATATATAACATTTGTGTGATTGAGCAAAAAAAAAAATGAATCAATTTTTTCAACAAAATTTTTTTTATTTATTAGCAATTTATTAGCAGCAAAATATATATATATATATTATATATAATTTAAATTATAAATATATAATTATATAAACTATTTATAAACTTAATAAAACAACACATACCTGTTCGGGTTAGTGGGGGTAGTATTGTTGTTGTTGTTGGTAATGGCGGCACTACTTTGGCTACTACTGTGCCTCTGGTGCCTGATGTGTGCGTCCTCGCGCTCGTGTATGAAAATGGCCGACAGGGCGGCCGTAGACGAGGCCGGCGGCTCGTAGTACGATATTTTCAGTAGTCGGTCGTCCAATTTGTTTTCGGTATTGTGCGCTTTGGCAGCCGATTTCAGGTCAATAAAGGCAACGGTGGCGCACACGCCTCCCTGTGCAACATCGCCACCGCCGCCGCCCGCGCCAATCAATTGGCCACTAGACGATGGCCCGTTACTGGCCTCGCCGGCGGCCAATATCTTGACATTTTGAACCTTTCCATATCTAAATAATAATAGGTTACCGAAGAAAAAATAAATAAATAAAACAATTATATAAAAATTATATTTAAATAAAACAAAAAGTGATTAAAATCTAATGTTATATAAAATTTTTATTTTTTTACTGCAATTATTATTATTACTGTATGTTTATATAATTGCAATCACTTTTAATATTATTTATTTTTTAAGCAATTATACTGTATATATATATATGTATGTATAATGTGAATATTTAAAAATAATAATATGAGAAAAAAATGATTTATATATTTGATAATAATACTTATATTAATAATAATTATTATTATTATTTTAATATATTGTTAATTGTATAAATATCATATATATATGTTAGTTAGTATAATATATATATAAATTATATGCATTTATAACAATTTTTCAATGCCAAAGTTATCAAACGATATATATATTATATATAATAGAAAACTACACATAAATAAAAATACTAAAAAAATTTTCACAGAAAAGCAATAACTTATAATTTATTTTCTCAATTATAACCGATATATATTTTAAGTGTATGTTTTACATGATTTTTTCATTGAAAAAAATTATTTTTATTTTTTTAAAAAATACATTTTTATCTCAAGTATATCTGTGTGTGTGTGTGTGTGTGTGTAAATAAGTGCCATATATTTATTATATTTATATTATATATACACTTAAATATATGTATATTATATATATATATATATATAGACTGTCTATCTCACGACATGAATACACCTAACATTTTTGATTTTCTAGTAAAAAAATAAAAATAAAATAAAGTGCTATTTTTAAGTCACCTAAATTTTTTGATTTTTATTGCCTCAATTATGACAAAAAAAATAATTATAAATAAATTTATTATAATAAATATTTATATATATATATATTTCAGATACTGAATCCAAATATAATGTTTTAAATAACACACATATTTCTTAATAATAATAAATAATAATAAATTATTTTTTTTTCATCTATTTGTCACCACCACTGTATGCCAAGTCATAGCCGTACTAAAAATATAATATATACACACATAAGCCATATAAACATATATAACAATGTATTGCCCAATTACTAACAAACACAGAGCACTGGTAGTTTATATATATAATATATAGACGTAATTTTCTCACATCTATCTATCTMTCTCTCTCTCTCTCTCTCTCTCAAAATGACTGCTAACTTATCATATTATATATGATATATCATATCATATAATGTATATAATAATATATTTATTGATCATCAAAATTTTATTTATATGTAACTAATTTTGTCGACGTTTACAATACAACATAACATAGAGATAGAAAAATCATATTAAAAATCCCCATCTCATCGATGATCTATCTATCTATCTATCAGTACTACTACTACTAGTAGTAGTATATAGTTGTAGTAGTAATAGTCAAGTCAGCACCGGTTGGTTAAGTCCATGTTCTCAGCCATTGCACAGTCAGATTGCATGAGATAGTGAGTGAGAGAGAGAGAGAAAAAAGGCTGACTATAATATGTATGTGTGTGTTGCTAACTGAGCTCTCCATCATATCATACACAACAGTATACTACTATACCCTACACTATATACAACCAACAAAATTATATACAAATATTATATTTTGGACATTACATGATATAGCCCTATAACCTTTGGACATGGACATTTACAATTTATTTATTTTTATTTTTTTGATGACATTTATTATTATTTTAGTTCATACATAAACACACACACAGAGAGATAGTTAGACATAAAATGTCTCATTTTATTTTAATGCCATTATGTACTGTATATAAATGTATAGCTAAGTTGTGTGTATGCCATGAAAAGCCAACACACCATACAAGCACTTGTATATCATATATATATATATATATATATATATATATATATAGGACCAGGGTTGGAAAAATACCAAGGTTTCAAAATTTCACTTTTTGTATAATACAGTAAATGCATGTATTATACTAATTTAAAAACCAATGAATATTATGTTTTTAAAAAAATTATTTAATAATATTTAGTAAAATATAATTTCTAGAAAATGCATTATTATTATTATTGTATCGTTATTTCTAAATTATAATAATCAAATAATTTAAAATAAAAAAAAATAATATAAAAATCTATATTTATCATATAAAACATGATTTTTTTGTTGGTCATGTATTTTACATTGCATTATATACAGTGTATTATATAAAACATTTTGTTTTTCTGCCAACACTGTATAGGACTGCCATTTCATATTATCATCGATTGCATGCATACTCCTAGGCTGCTGTATGCCAGCGCTTATATACCAATAGCACTGGTAGTATAGAGACAGTGAGTGCATGTGTTGTGTGGGGAGGTTTTGGGTTAATAAATACTGTAATGGCTGTAATGTATTTGAAAAATATTTGCAACATTTTTCACAAACACAATGAATAATATATATAAAGTATTTGAGAAAATAAGAAAAAAATGTTAATTATTTATTATTTTTTAATAATATTTTAATAATAATAATATGTATGATTATATTTGTAAAATATAGTGAATGTACTGTACATATAAAGTAATATTGCAAACAAACAAACAAAAAATATTATATTTGCAAATTTGGTTACAACAAAAAATACTTAACTAATGCTAATCATAATAATATACAAATATATATATATATATATATATAACTAATGTCTAAACTATGAGAGAAATACAACATAAAAAACATAAAGAGAAATGAAAAAAAGGTTTTTACATTTAAATAAATAAATTTTTAATTCAATGATTGTTTTTTACAGTATATCTCTAACGTAGAAATAGTTTATAAAACAATACATATATATATATTTTCCACAGAGACATACATGTATAAACAATCATACGATAAATATAATATATAATGAATATATATACTGTATTATATATCTTATTTGAAATTTAAAATTAATATTAAATTTAATATATACCGATTCTGGGTAATAGCTATCTATATATATATATTTTACCATCAGTAATGTTATTTGAAACAAACAACAACAAAAAATATCATATATATATATATAGTATAAGTGACTTAATGTTTCAACAACAACAACAAAAAACATTATATTTTATTTTTCTTATTATAAATTATATATATAATAGAAAATCCAAATCTAATTATTTGATATCCGTATGTAAATTGTTGTAACAAAACAATAACAAAAAAATTGCTTAAATTTAAAAATAAATAATCAACTAAAAATAACCACTATTACAAAATATAACATTAAATTTAATATATTATATATATATATATATATATATATATATATATATGATAGTAGTATACTGTATTTTAATATATGATATATAACCTTATTTATACATACATATAAAATGTATAATCGAAACAAAAACAAAATAATCACTATTAAAAAAATTTAATGATACATAAATAATAATTTTAATAATAATAATAATATCATGGGCTATGGTGTGCATGTGTGTGTGTGTGGGGGGTTTCCGGGTATATACCACTACTATATATAAATCTTCACATAATACCCTTAAAAATAATAATAATTTTTCCCAATACATAACACCCGAAAAAATCAATTGTTTTTTACTATTTTCTAATTTTAGTTATACAGTATATATAGATATATGCTTAAAAAAATCAATCATATCAATCACAAAAGTTCAATTCAATTCAAATTTTTTTGTTGTTGTTATATATATTAAAATCACTGGCAGTTTAGTTGTTATGCTTGTATACAGAGTGAAAATTTTTTAGATATTTTTTCATTTTATATTTATTACAAGTAAAACTACATTTGAATGGCACAACCATTAACACGACTGCGTTGTGTTTGGATCACCAGTTTCTCGATGGAAAGGGAGGAAACACAACACAACACATAGTGTATAGAGAAAAATAAGAGGACAGACATTACAGATATATATATATATATATATACAGTATATATATAATATATAAAACACAACACATTTGCTTCCATGAAATTTATTGATTGCCTTATATATATATGTCTAATATGATGTGTGTTTCTCCTACCAGTGCTCTGTTAGTATTACATAAATATATTTTGTATTAAAAGTTATATATATTATGTTGTAAATGCTAAATACTAAAATGAATAACATAATAATAATAATAATACTATTTATTAAATAAAATGAGACAAAAATCAAAAAATATCAATCGCCTGTATATGAAAATGAAATCAACTAAAAAACTAAAATATTATACACTTTGTTGTTGAAAAACTACTACTTATTTCCTATGGATTCACTCACACACACACATAGTATAGCCTTATATGTATAATAAAATTTTTCTCTGTATATGGCATCCAACAAAATATTTTGTTGTCGATGTTAATAATATTATTTTTGCAGCACTACTACGGTTTATACTGTATATAATATTTAATATTATAGTTGGAGAAGCCATACTCATACACATACTAGTGCTGGTCATACATACAGTGTATATATACATATATATAATATAGTCAATAGACAGGAATATAATATATCCAGAAAATACTGCTTAAAGCCATTCATTCGCTTTATAACTTTCCAACTTTTATAATAATAAAACTTTTCATATATGAATACATGTATTATCGTATGTGTGTGTTGTATAGTATACACAGTATATATATATATATAACCAGCACTGGTATTTCTCGCACATCACTTTGTATGCCCAGTTTGCCTCCAACATTACTTTGGGTATATACAGTATATATATATATACTGTATATATATCCTATCCTCCATATCCATTGCTTTAGTAGTGTTTCTCATTTTCCAACAACACATACACACACACAAAGATCTATCTATCTGTTCAATCAATACCATTATAACCCACTGAGAGTCATGTATTAGATTTTTCTCTAACAGAAAGCCAGTGCTGGTAGTAGTTGTAGTAATAGTGGTTATAATGTATATACACTGTATATGGCATATACTTGGGAACAGCAGCATACATACTGTACATACAGTATATAATACCAAACCTCGATAGAAAGAAAATGAGCACTGGGTAGTAGTACTAGTATTAATAGTTTATACTGGTTTTGTTGGAGAGAAAATGTATATATATATATATATATAATATCATTGATCAGTCACTCCAGTGCTCCCTGTTCCCATTGCTGTAAAGACATACAGTGCTGYATATATATATATATAAAGGAGACTATAGGAAAAACAGGGAGAGAGAAAGACTTATAAGTGTATGTGCTGTGTGTATATATATATATATATATATAACAAAATATAACAAATACATTATATGTATTATTTTATATATATATATATGATATCTAGTTATATATGTGTATTAGAGGACAAGTGATCCCTGAGCAATAGATATATATATATATATATATATATATATATATATACCAGGTATATAAATATATAATAAAACAGGACATTAATATGTATATTATACAATCCTATGGTAGGACTGTATATACTACAGTGGTATCTGCAGTGTATATATATATGTATACATATATATATATATATATATATATATATATATATAAAGTGAAAAATCAGAAAATAAAAATGTTTATACTTGTATAATACAACTAATATTAATTGATATTATAAAACGTGAAACGAGAAAAAGCAATTTGGGGACTCTCATTTAAGTTTTTCTAGGGGCTCTCTATATTCACATAATATAAAGAGAGAAACCTACCAGTGCTGATGGCAAGTTTGACTAGTGCTATAGAGCCGATTCTACAAACACACACACACACTCGCCATACCAGTGCTTTTCATCATCATCACCAGTACCAACAACAGTAGTATGCTATGTGTATGTGCCTCTGAGGCTCAGCTCTCTCACTCACTCTCTCATTGTATATACAGTATATATATTGCCATCAAACACACACACACACAACAGTCAGCTCATACCCCTCCATACATACATAAAAGGTCACCTTCAAGCCCGATAGCTCTCGAGGAAGGGCTGTTACATTGCCCTTTCCATTGCTTTTCGCTAATATAATAATGTCGACTCGTCCGTCGGGTTATACATTCATACACACACAAACACATACATACATACTCTCTCTCACTTTGCACAGTCCCTATCCATCTCCCCTCCCGTCCTTCAATTTAGGCCTCTCTTTCTCACTCATATTTTTTTCACATAACAAAAAACACATCAAACATTTGGCTTAAATAATAATAAAAAAAAATTATTTTTAACACTTGAGGGCTAATACACCAATGGATAGATAGGTATATACATACATATATAAACACACTGTACAGTGGGTGAGTGGTAGTAGCTCAGTAATAGCGAGTGAGTGAGTGTGTGAAATAGTCGGCAATGGGGATGGGATAGGGAGAGAGGACAGTCAACAACAAGAAATAAAGAGAGAGATGATATTCAAACCGTTTTTTATTTCAAAAAAAAACTTTTTCCCAGTTTAAACATTTTTGGCTAATATTATCTGTAACTTGGATTATATATATTTAACTAACTATTAGACCATATAATTAAATTAACCGAAATTATTTGCTGCTAATAATAAAATAACAACAACAAAAATATATTTTATTATAAATTTATATATATATATGTACTGTATATGTGATATTCAAGTTTAATGATAATTATACTTAAAAATGATAATAAAAATGCAAATAATACATTGAACACACATATTATGATTACCAGACTCTCTCTCTCTCTCTCTCTCTCTCTCTCTCTCTGTATGTATATTATCATTAAACAGTTTTAAGCGTTAAAATAAATATAAAAATTTTTAAATATTTATTTTAAAAACAACGATAATCACTATTTTATAATTTAATTTTAATACCATAGTATATATAAACAACACACACATCAGTGCAATAGTTTGCAGTCCCAGAGATAAACTTTTTTTTTCTCAAATATTACAATATATTATTTAGTAGAAAAATTGTAGAGAAATTTAGTACTACATTGAAATAATGTTAATCTATAATAAAAATGATAATAATACTGTATATACCGGTATATATATAAATTGCTTATCAATTATGTTTGGTTTATCGCTGCTAGACTTCGACTATATGCCTGTATTACTGGTTATTGTATAAATAAATTATATTTATTTTATTTTGTTATCTAAAAATATGTCCCACAATATAATTATGACCACACAAACCAACCACTTTATATACTACACCTCTAACCTAACTAACTAACAGTTCTCTCCCCCTACCATAACTAATTTAACAATAGCATCTGGACATTCATATAAATAATACATTACATAATAATAATAAAAACTACTGGTATAACTACTACTACTATTATCACTGGTGCATAACACATACACAGATAAAAAATATATTTATATTACTATTCCATAGCATAACTGGCCAAACAAAACAAAAAAAAACTAAATATCATGACTGGCCATTTTATAAATATATATATATATACTAGCCCGAACCATCATTATCTCCAACAATATGCAAATATATATATATACTGTACACACATATATACAAACGCATAATTAGTTTTTTTCAATATATATGCAAAAAAAATACAATACAAGATATAACTCATTCAACCTATGGGATGGGTATGATATGATGGTATTGTATGCATGAATTATTATGCAAATTACTGGTACTTTTACATGTATATGTGTACTGGTATTAGATGATAACCCTAACAACATTGTATGGCAATGTATCCACACTCACACACACACACAAAATATCATAAAAATAAATTTATAATCTATATATATATATTAAAAGCACAGGTAGATTATTAAAGGAATGGTATGTAAGGAAAAACACATTACCTTTGGAAGTGTTCGATGATCCTGTCCTTACGTATATTATCGGGCAAATTTCCGACCCATAAGTGTCTGGTCTCCCTTACCATTGTCTATCGGCCAATGTGGTCAGTGTTTAGGCGGTGGTGGTGCAATCGTGTCACCCACACCCGTCCTTTAAATCAACACTGGACTATTGTTTGTATTTTTAAAAGTTAATTATGGGGCTACGGGTGCTGCTCTATCGATTGGACACAGATAGACACACACATAAACAACTGGATCAACATACAAACTGGACTTTTATTTTTTAATGGGAGGGTTAACCCTAACCTGTGTCCACCCGTGTGATGTTGAAAACCTATTTGGTATACTAAAACAATAACAACAAAAAAAAACTTTTTTTTTATTTGGGAGGTTATATGCAATATAAAAAAAACACACACACACAAACAGATAGATAGAGCACAGGTATGTGTAGCAGAAACCACTGGATAGATAGATATATATATATTTCAAACAATATATATATATATAACAACAATAAAATTGGTCACAAATATGTGTTTTTGGTTTTTTTATATATAACACAAAATGCAATGAGAGATATCCACACAACAAAAATTTTTTAATTATAATTATAATAATGATATCCACAATCGTCTCAATAATTATAATAATAATAAATTAATAGCAATATTATCCTCGATTGCTGTCGATTATGATAATACATGATATATATATCCAGACACACACTATATATATATGTTATAAACAAAAATAAAACTGTTATCCACTGTGGACTGGTAGGTACTGTAGTGATGGCGGTTAAATGTGTGAACTGGTAGGTTTTTTATATATTTTGGTTTAGTTGGTTATAATGGATGTGCACCTAAAACAATTTGGTCACATCTCAAGTGTTGCTGTAGTGGACATCAATGTATGAACAAATAATTGGTGACAAATAATAATACATTATTATTATTATTAATATAATAACTATTAAACATAGATTTAGTAGTAGTATTGGTAGTAGTATTGGTAGCACTAAACATAATAATCATTATATGGTATATCTATATATATTTGTCGATAAGTTTTATGTATTATTATGTATTAATTAATTATCGCGTTTCTTATAATAATAATAATAATAATAAATATATATTTTTGTATTAATTAATTAATTAATAGTGAGACACAAATTAATAATAAAACGTTTAATACAGTAGTGTATGAAACACATAGCAAATAATATTATTATTAGTAGTATTGTGTATTGTGTTGGCTATAATAGTAATAACGTTGTGTGTACTGACTGTAGTACACATTATGACTGCCTATCAAGCACTGGCTGTCCTCTCGTAACGTGTAATTATGCTCAACACATACTATATACAGGCCTACCAGTGCGCGCCTTAAACACCATTAGATTGTGTGTGTGTTGTCGTTGTTGTTTACGGTGGGTAAGTGCCATTTTTATCAGCTTTATAGGGTAGGTTAGCTCTCAAACATACACTTCCCTGTATATAGTAATGTAGTAAACCTACACTGATGGGCTTACACTGTAAAAGCCTGTAAAATATTATCCCAACTACTAGTGCCCCAGTGTGTCAACTAAAGTTACCATCAACTTAGCAGGTAATACACGTCACACATATACCCTAACCAGTATTTTTTGTGTTGTTGGTACCCATGATGGCTGCCGATCACCAGTTAATATAAGCACCAGTAGTCTGGTATAATACAAAAGGATCGTATGATCTATGGGCTAACAGAGTGCGTGCGCGCGCGCCTGTAGTTTATAGCGCCAGCTGTTTAGTAATGAAACTATTAAATGGTGTAATCAATAGGTGTTTTTAGTTTTTAATTTTATTTTTTTTTTGATTAACATTTTTTGGTTTTTTTTGTTATATAACAACATATACTGTAATTAATACAATAAACAGCTCTATCTATAGGCATACCAGTGCTTTAATACAGTATATATTGCTAATACTACCAGTGCTGGTTTAAATTAGTACTAAAAAAATTAGCCAGTTAAACTAAATAAATAAATAATATATTCACACACACACACATAAACACATGATATAATAAATTATTATTAATACATAATATATTTATAATATATAATAATTATATCAAAGAGCATACATTTTTTATACATTTATATCAATTTTATATATATTATATTTTTTAACTATTCATATATATATATATATTACTTATACTGTGTATTATAATAATACTATATATTTATTATAATAAAACAATAAATTATTTTTACAAAATTATTATTTGTGTATTTTATTATTAGTATTAAAAAAAAATATTTTTTTAATGTTTAAATTGTTATCAAAATTCAATAATTTTATTATTTTCAATGTTAATAGAGAGTACAGTATATATATATTTTTTTCTATGTGTGCAATGAATAACTAAGTATTGAATAATTTTTTTTGTAATTTTTTTTCAATTTTGCTATTAAATTATAGTACAGTAGTATTAAAAATAACAGTAATTATTATTAACGCAATAGCCATCGCATCAACAAAAAAATATAAATGTATGATATATTTGACTGTCAATGTTGTTGTTATTATTATTATTGTGTGTATATTAATGTTTAAATGATTTAATGTGTTTTGATGTCTATATGAATGTCTATAAGTTATAGACACATATAATTTAATACTACTGTACTGTACTCTCTAGGCTAACATTTTTATTTATTTTATTTTTTTTACATACATTCAGCTATTATCATATAATACCAGTGTTTGAATGCATAACACATTTAAATACCATTTAAACAATACATTTAATGTAAATATAAATACTGTTGTATTTGTTTGAAGTTTATTATTATTATTATTATTAAAACAACATAAATATATTTATATATATTATTTGTTAATTAATTGGGGTTTTTTAATGTATTATTCGTGACCCCCTCCCTCCTAACACATACAATGCATTTAAGTTATTATCAGTGATGGATCAGCTGCTGCTTCTACTGATGGACAACAATATTGTGGCCACCAATTGATTGTCGATTTTTTTTAAAAAATTTTTTATTTTAAGATTTGTTTGCATATATTTATAGACAGGCAATCATTACTACTACTACTGGCCATCAAACCATCGGTTGACCGACCAATTGGTCAATTGATCATTCAGTTATCATATAACCTAAAGAAGAAAATATTATGTCTTTGATCTGATCTGACGGCAAGACTCCAACGTATCCGACAACAACAATAACAACAGCAACAACAAGAAGCACATCCCATACGTCAGACACACATCCTATTGATACTTAACTTAATGCCAATACTGTCCGATAGTGGCGGCGGAGGCGGCTATCCGTTGATGATGGACAACACAATGTTGTTGAACGGTATGCGTCAGTTGGGTTCGACCGAGTCGTGGACGGATGATCTGCCAGTTTGCGACCGAACAGGTGTTGGTACTCAACCGAATCACGTCTACAGTCGTAACGGTTCCCGACAAGAGGGCCATCACTGCGAAGACCGTAGCTTTCATTTCAATGTAAACTCGACGACCAGTTTCTATGGTCTGTTCGATGGACATCAGGGTCAGAGTGCGGCCAATTTTCTGGCCCAACATTTGCCCGCCGATGTTCTACTCGAACCGTTACCCGAAACGTCGACCGACGCTGACGTCCACAATCTCTTCAAACAGGCCTTCGAATCGGTCGAAGGCGAGTACTTTCAGTCGATAGACGTATCGTTGGCCGAGAAGACATCACTTGGCTTTCAAATACAAGGAATGAGTCAAACGGAGGCCTACGAAACCTTTCCCGAGATTGTTGATCGATTGAGTACTGTATCGGCCAAAGTTTCGTCGGGAACTACTGCCGTTGTAGCCCTTGTCCACTGTAATCGTTTGCATGTGGCCAACGTTGGCGACACAAAGGCCATATTGTGCAAACTTGATCAGTCGGGCGGCTATTCAGCCACTCAACTATCTACCGATCACGACCTGAACAACGACGACGAACTGTTGCGTCTCCAGAAGCTCGGCCTCAATGTTGACTATTTGCGCGAACGGCAACAAATCGGAAACATATCCGTCACCCGTTGTTTCGGTAACTATTTAGTCAAAGCCGGCTACAGTGATATGGCCGATTTGTGTATGGCCACTGACGAACCGGTAATCGCTGTTCCGGCCATCAAATCTGTACCAATCGACAACAGCGTACAGTTTCTTATATTGGCTTCCGGTGCCGTATTTAGGACACTTGAAAGTGCTACCGGTTCGCCACAAGTGAACAGTGATATCGTCCGAATGGTTGGCGAAGAGTTCAAAGTTCAAAGCACACTAACCGGTGTCGCCCAGGCTGTCATCAACAAGATTTGTCGCATACATCAGGACTACTTTCTGACCGAAATGAACAATCCGGCTCTGCCGCAGTCCAGCCGCCAGATCGACGATCTGACACTAATGGTCCGCAACTTTAATCATCCGCTGGTCAACGGTATCTCCAGTCCGAACAGTCGATCGCCGTCGCTGTCGACAATGCAACGGCGTTTCGACGAACAATTGCACATTTCGGTTACCGACGGTCCTGCTGGCGGTGGCACCAATACCGACGATGAAGACTTCGGTATTGCCACCAGTGGCCATCAGATTGGCTATCGTAGCCGTTCGGCGTCAAAAACGCTGATGCAATCGACAACACCGGTACCGGAAATGTCGGTCACGACCAATGATGACCTGATATTGCCGCCAACGTTCGATGATTCGTCGGCCAATACAACGACCACCAATACGACAACAAATACGACGACAAATTCGACCGACTTTGAGGAACGAGGTTTTAATTCACAAAAAGCCGATCCATTGGATTTGGACTCCGATGGACGGGTAGCTTCCTATGTAAAGTTTGACGACTTTTTGGATGCAATCGAACTGGCCAAACAAGACGGTACCTATCAGGACTTTACGGTCACCAATGGTGGCTCAACTATTACTACTGGTGCTGATTAAATAGCTCACTAATCGCCGTTAGTTATCCCTAAAATAGGATAGTCTTATCTTCACTATCTCTCTCTCTCTTTCTCTCACTATCTACTACTGTTGTTCCTCATAAATACCGTACCATTAACTATACAGTAGAGATATACTTACCGATACTGTACTGTATATAATATCTGTCACTATACAAACAAACAACACAAAAAAAATTATAAAACAAATTTTTAACGTACAATAAGTAAATGAATTGTTTTTTTTTGTTTAATTAATTAAATATTAATGTTTTTTTTTTAAGATCATCTCTCAATTTTTAAGCTATAATTTATATATATTATGTTATATTAATTACTGTAGGCTTTTATATGTGACAAATGATAAGATATTACTTTGAATTACAAAATAAAAGACATACAGTGTTAGATCGGATCGGATCAGTGGATATATTCTTCGACATATATATATATATATAGAAATAATGGGTGTTTATTATTATTATTATATAATTTAAGATAATATGTATATATATTTACAGTACCACTATATTACTACTTATGTCGTCCTATCACAAAATGTTTAAAAAAAAATTATTGGATATTTTTCTAAAAATGATTGTTACATTATATCAAATTTAACTTAAAAAAATCCTAATTATTTTCAATTATTTTATTTTTATCAAACAAAAAACAATTAATTAATTAATTTGTATTATTATATATTTGTTTCTTTTATTATTATTTTTTGTTTCACTTGTTAGATATCTTAGTTTTAATTTATATTACCGGTAATTATTTTTTGTTTATTTCTGATTAATTTATGTCTATAATAATAATAATTATTATTCTCCTGTTTAAATATATTATAGCCATAGAGTGCAAATGTAAATCAATCATTGATTATTGAATAAATTAATAAATAATAGAATCAGTTAATTAGTTGCTTGAAAATCTCAACAAAAAAAATTTAATTCAAGTAATTTTTATTAAATTATAAAGTATTACAAACTTTTTGTTTTCTTCAAAATATTATTATATTAAATTCATTTAGTTTTTTTTAATAATTAATTCTTAATATTATTATTAGTATTATTACAGAAAAAATTATTATTACTATCCATCAGTGATACTAGTGTTTCGTTTTTCATATGAATCACACGAAACTTGTCTTTTGACGGCAATTTGTCCACCAATTCGGTCAAATCGGCCGAATAGTATTCAATATAATCGATTTTCGACTTATATCGACGCGCGTACAGGCGCTCAAACACTGGCACCGGCAGTGTATTTGTCGGTATCTTTCGTAGTATGGTCTCAAATCGGGCGCCCAGTGCTCTCAGCCGATTGTCATAATTCAATCGTAAATGTTTTTCGCCACTATTCTCGTTGTGTTCGACATCCAGTATCTTTGGCGACAGTTCCTCAAGCAGTTCAATCAGTTTACCGAATCCAAAATCACTGACCCGACACTGTCGACTGTAGAATCGATGATAGGCCGGTATAAACATAGAGAAGCCCAGCTCAAAGTCAACCGATTCTTTCGAATCGCGCAACAATTTGATCACTTCCTGTTCAAAATAGGTTGTCCTCTTGTGCTGTTCGTCTGAACGCTCACGTTTCGGCAGAGCCAGCCACTGGTCATTGCTGCCGAACGGTGTTATGGCTACCGTACCTTCCCATACGTCCCGCAGTATATCTTCGATCAGACAGACTCCATAGTCAGTGATATCAAACGGCTTTCCGTACAGCTGTTCGTAGGCCGCGTAAAATTCACTCAATTTCATTTTCATACCGTTCCTCGACTTCAGTACTTTGATCAGATCGTTAGCAAATCGTTTGGTCTGTTCCTTATGAGTTAGTGTTATCATACGTCCGTCGTGTTCGCCATAGATCTGGACAACGTTGGGCATGGCTTCCATTAGTTGGGTCAGTCGTTCGTAGCCGAACTGTCCGACACACAGTTGCCGTACAAAATGCGAATGATAAGTCGGTACAAACTTGATGAACGGTATGGTTGCGTGCGGTTGACTTTTCAAAAGCACTCGTACCTCTTTGGTGAAATGTACCAACGGGTTGCCACCGCTGCCGCCACCACTACCACCTGTCGATCGCTCGTAATGATGATGACTACTAGCTCTAGCGGTATCAACTGTTACCGATAGCCGGCTGGTAGTGCGATGTCTATGATGATGGTGTTGGTGTTCATGATTGGGTATCCATGCAATTGTCTTATAGCCAGTACCGCCAGCAGCAGTCGCCGACACTATCTTAACTCCCGGCACACACGCGATCATGTGTTCCAACGGAACCAACGGCTGGCTAACCGTATCGACCAGTTCGCCAAACTCGCCGTAATAACAGTCGAGAAACGTATGCACCGGTACACTGCCGGCATGTGTATCAAGCATATGATGGACACGAGTGGCCAACAATTTTAGCGATATGTTTACCGCCGGAAGTAGACTTTGTTCACCTAAAGTGCCAGCAGTTGTCTTAGTAGTCGTCGACGACGAGTAGTGTTTTAGTGTCGATTTCGGATGAACTGAACACTTGACGGCCAATTGTTGATGACCGCTGTTAGTGGCCGTCGCCAGTAATGGCTTCTTCGGGCTATGAGATCGGGTGCCGCGTCCTATGTTAAACTTCATCGTTAGTTATAATAACGTGACTTTATATACATATATATATGTATAGAGTATATATAGTTTGAAATACTAGACACCCTTTTTCATAGAGAACCTAAGTTTAAGTAAAAAGTTTTATTGTATGACTCTTTATATGACTAAATAATTACCCAAAAAATTAATATTTTTAGTTTTATTGAGTGTGTGTACTGGTATGTCATGTTATATATATTTAGATATATACTTTATATATATGTGTGAAATATTTTTTGATTATTAACTTTCAAGTTTAATCATAAATATATATTAATAAATTGATTTAAAATTGAATATTATAAGTAATGAGTTATAAATTATTATTATTATTATTATTATTAAGAATCTAATTTTAAATTTTGTATAAAAAATAATTTGCTATTTATATTTATATTTTTCATTTTATCTTTATAAATTATTTTTTTTAATAGTTTAACTTTTATTAAATTTATTATATCTTTTATTTTGTCATATTATTAATAATTTTAGTTTTTTATTTCTAAATGTAATTCAAGTATTAGTCATAGATTTTAAATTAAGTTTAAAAACAACAAAAAACCCCAATACTATTGTATATATTAATGCATTTAATTTATAAATAGTTTAATAGTTAGTAACAAAACAAAAAAATAATAATAATCAAAATGTTTATAAAAATAACTTTTATTACAAATTATTATAATAATATCACATGAATTAGTTAATATGATTCATAAATACAATAGTTTTATACATGAATAGCTCTCAATTGTCATTATATATATAATAAAATAAATATAATTTTATTAAAGGAAATTAATTACTAACGTTAATAAAAAACTTAATTTGTAGTTTATAGTTTTTTATAGTTTTTATAGTTAATATAATGTATTTAAATCAGTAATAAAATAATAGCCAAATATTAAAAGCACAAAAAAGTTGGGTTAGGTTTTGAAAAATCAATTGATGTTAAGTCTATATGACTATTAGTGCATTTGTTTGACATTTTTGAGTTAACTTTTACAAACTTGTATTACGTCTCCCAGTAGTCACCCAGTGATGCCATTTTGATGGTATACTCATAATTCATATCTAAAATTTACGATAAAAACAATTATTTTTTCCTCCGATGAACGCCTCCTCCATAAAACAGCAAAACCCCGTTTTCAGACAAACACGTATTCATAGTATGTTTGGCGCCAAAAGTTTATATAGTATTTCAATGTATTACAAATGCTTATATTATGTTAATAGTGTATTAAAAGTTATAATTTTAAACTTTCTAAACATTGTAATTTATTTAAATCATTGTAACAAATAATACTATAGATAATTTTCAATATTTTTAACAGTAAATTATATATTTAAAACTTTTATAGTTTTTTTTGTTTTTTTTTAAACAATACATATGATATTTTTATGGATTTTTTTTAATTTTTTTCACATGTTATATAATTTTTTAAAAATGTCCATTAATTACCGGAATAGTTCACATATCATCTAATAATTGTTATATTATATTAAAATAATTTATTGGTTATTAATAGTCATATTTTGTTAAGTATTTATATGTTTTTTGTTGTTGTACTATTTTTTACATATATTTCAACAATAACTATATAAGATAAATGATTATTAAAAAACTATTTTGTTATAAGATTAATAATATTTTTTATAGTATTTTATATTTGATTTAATTTTTATGTTATCAAACATTGATTGCCGACACAAATGAAAGCTATTTATATGATTGGTATTATTATTATTATTATAATTATTATAAATATTCATTAATTAGCGGAAGAGTTCACATATCATCCAATGATTGTTATATTATATTAAATAATTTATTGGTTACTAAAAATTATATTTTGTTATTATTTATATGTTTTTTTAAACGCATTTAAAACTGTTTTAATAAAATATTTTAAAAATAATTACTATTATTAATTAGACTAATAATTATATATTAATCAAATTTATAAGATTAATAATATTTTTATAGTATTTTATATTTGATTTAATTTTTAAGTTATCACACATTAATTGAAATGAAAGCAATTTATATGATAGGTATTTATATATTTAATATATGTATTAAATAAAAACTTTTTAAGTTTTTAAACAATACATGTTATATATGTTTGTTAGTATTATTTAAAAAAAAAAAATTAATAGTTTATTAATTACTATAAGAGTTCACACATACAATGTGTTGTCCATTATATGACTCATAATATCATATAATAATAGCTATATATTAAATAATTTATTGGTTAATATAATAGTCATATTTAGTTTTTTGTATGTATTTTTTTAAAAAACGCATAATATTTTCTAAAGATATTTTTTGGACAATTATTTTATTTAGTTAATCAAAGAAATAATTATTAACTAACTATACGATAAATAATACTTTTATAGTATATTTATTTTTGATATAATTTCTTTGTTAACACACATTGATTGCCGACACAAATGAAAGCTATTTATATGATTGGTATTTATATATATTAAATATATTTATTAATTACTTTTAAATATATATAATATAAAATGTGATTTTTGTTGACAGCATTGTTGGTATCGACCATTGCATTGGTTGTAATCATTGAGTCGAAAGATTTCTGTGAAGAATATCTGAAAAATGACAACAAAATTAATGTATCAATGATTTTGTATAAAGACTATGGATATGATGAAGATATGATATTATTGTTTATCGGTAACACCTACTGGAAATTGTCGGTCAAAGATAAAAACACAATTATGATTGACACCCAAAGTGCCGGTCAGTCTAATTTGTTGTCCGGTTCGGACAAATACTTTTTAGTTTGGTCTTTAAAGTTTGATATCAACAATCATGTCAATGATGATTATAAACTGCCATTTTGTCGTATCGTTTATCTACAAGTAATTAATTCATAAATAAATTGAATATTTAATATGTTTATTAATATTAATTAAACTCAACAACAAAAAAAAAATTTTATATTTGTTTAGAAAGATTTTGATTGGATTGAATCATCGTGTGATTGGAAAGTAAATATTAATGATATCCATTGGATCAATTCAACGACAGCAAAATTTCCATACATTGATGACTTAATATGGACTGTCACTAACAGATCCATTATATTTGCTAATAATCAGAAATATTATTACTATTTATTTAAAGAAAATAATTTGTCAACACATAAATATATTATTAGTTTTCATGGCATTGCCTTAACTGCGGTGAGACATGGGAAGTTTGCGGTCAATAATTATCTCGAGAACCGTTGGTCAGATCTTGCGGTCAAACATATAAAAGTTCTAGAGAATAAAAAGTTAGGAACTAGGGTCCACTTGAAAAAATTTTAGGTCCACCAGGAGGACCACAAAAAAAATAAAACATAAAAAATTTGTATTAAAAAAGTGGCGGTCAGGGAGTATCTCGAGAACCGGTGGTCAGATCTTGCGGTCAAACATATAAAAGTTCTAGAGAATAAAAAGTTAGGAACTAGGGTCCACTTGAAAAAATTTTAGGTCCACCAGGAGGACCACAAAAAAAATAAAACATAAAAAATTTGTATTAAAAAAGTGGCGGTCAGGGAGTATCTCGAGAACCGGTGGTCAGATCTTGGGTTCAAACATATAAAAGTTCTAGAGAATAAAAAGTTAGGAACTAGGGTCCACTTGAAAAAATTTTAGGTCCACCAGGAGGACCACAAAAAAAATAAAACATAAAAAATTTGTATTAAAAAAGTGGCGGTCAGGGAGTATCTCGAGAACCGGTGGTCAGATCTTGCGGTCAAACATATAAAAGTTCTAGAGAATAAAAAGTTAGGAACTAGGGTCCACTTGAAAAAATTTTAGGTCCACCAGGAGGACCACAAAAAAAATAAAACATAAAAAATTTGTATTAAAAAAGTGGCGGTCAGGGAGTATCTCGAGAACCGGTGGTCAGATCTTGCGGTCAAACATATAAAAGTTCTAGAGAATAAAAAGTTAGGAACTAGGGTCCACTTGAAAAAATTTTAGGTCCACCAGGAGGACCACAAAAAAAATAAAACATAAAAAATTTGTATTAAAAAAGTGGCGGTCAGGGAGTATCTCGAGAACCGGTGGTCAGATCTTGCGGTCAAACATATAAAAGTTCTAGAGAATAAAAAGTTAGGAACTAGGGTCCACTTGAAAAAATTTTAGGTCCACCAGGGGGACCACAAAAAAAATAAAACATGAAAAATTTGTATTAAATAAGTGGCGGTCAGGGAGTATCTCGAGAACCGGTGGTCAGATCTTGCGGTCAAACATATAAAAGTTGTTGAGCATAAAAAGTTAGGAACTAGGGTCCGCTTGAAAAAATTTTAGGTCCACCAGGAGGACCACAAAAAAAATAAAACAAAAAATTTGTATTAAAAAAGTGGCGGTCAGGGAGTATCTCGAGAACCGGTGGTCAGATCTTGCGGTCAAACATATAAAAGTTCTAGAGAATAAAAAGTTAGGAACTAGGGTCCACTTGAAAAAATTTTAGGTCCACCAGGGGGACCACAAAAAAAATAAAACATGAAAAATTTGTATTAAATAAGTGGCGGTCAGGGAGTATCTCGAGAACCGGTGGTCAGATCTTGCGGTCAAACATATAAAAGTTGTTGAGCATAAAAAGTTAGGAACTAGGGTCCACTTGAAAAAATTTTAGGTCCACCAGGAGGACCACAAAAAAAATAAAACATAAAAAATTTGTATTAAAAAAGTGGCGGTCAGGGAGTATCTCGAGAACCGGTGGTCAGATCTTGCGGTCAAACATATAAAAGTTCTAGAGAATAAAAAGTTAGGAACTAGGGTCCACTTGAAAAAATTTTAGGTCCACCAGGAGGACCACAAAAAAAATAAAACATAAAAAATTTGTATTAAAAAAGTGGCGGTCAGGGAGTATCTCGAGAACCGGTGGTCAGATCTTGCGGTCAAACATATAAAAGTTGTTGAGCATAAAAAGTTAGGAACTAGGGTCCACTTGAAAAAATTTTAGGTCCACCAGGAGGACCACAAAAAAAATAAAACATAAAAAATTTGTATTAAAAAAGTGGCGGTCAGGGAGTATCTCGAGAACCGTTGGTCAGATCTTGCGGTCAAACATATAAAAGTTCTAGAGAATAAAAAGTTAGGAACTAGGGTCCACTTGAAAAAATTTTAGGTCCACCAGGAGGACCACAAAAAAAATAAAACATGAAAAATTTGTATTAAATAAGTGGCGGTCAGGGAGTATCTCGAGAACCGGTGGTCAGATCTTGCGGTCAAACATATAAAAGTTGTTGAGCATAAAAAGTTAGGAACTAGGGTCCACTTGAAAAAATTTTAGGTCCACCAGGAGGACCACAAAAAAAATAAAACATAAAAAATTTGTATTAAAAAAGTGGCGGTCAGGGAGTATCTCGAGAACCGGTGGTCAGATCTTGCGGTCAAACATATAAAAGTTCTAGAGAATAAAAAGATATGAACTCGGGTCCACTTGAAAAAATTTTAGGTCCACCAGGGGGACCACAAAAAAAATAAAACTGCTTTTATTTCTATGGTAAACCTAGTTGCTAATAATTTCTACAGTACTATCTATGATATTAAATATATATTAGATTAACTCAATTAAATGTTATAAATATTTATTTATATAATTTTTTAAATATTACAATAAAAAAAATATTACATTAAAATATTTATAATTATTACATTAAAAATATATTTATAATTATTACAATAATAATATTTTATAATTATTACATTAATAACATATTTATAATTATTACATTAAAATATTTATAATTATTACAATAATAATATTTTATAATTATTACATTAATAACATATTTATAATTATTACATTAAAATATTTATAATTATTACATTAATATATTTATAATAAAATTAATTTAAATTATTATACATTTCGATAATTAATTTGTTAGTTTCTAAAATATCAATTTTAAAATGCGAAACATCAGTAACTGATGAAATATCATGTAGTTCCCTATCGCTGTTATATTTCTCTTCTGTAAAATTTTCTATTAAATCCTTTATATAGCCACGTGTATTTTCAATATACTTTTTGGATATAGTCATTAATTGGTTGCCATTCATTATTGCATAAGTATTTGCAAAAACACATAGACCACATGAAGTTCCATCAGGTTGCTGATAACAGTTAGACGAGATAATAAACTTCCATTCACTCTGTATAAATATCTCCTCGTTTTTTATTAAATATATAATTTTAACTATTTTAATTAAAGCATATATTGCTATAACATAATCTGATATTTTACATTCTTTAGATAATGAGTCAAATAAAATTATATTTTTGAAAGTTAGATCTAGAACACCTAAAATATAGTGTTCTTTTATTGAATGCATTATAATATTTGTATGAATAACAACAAAAATTATGTTTTTGTTATATAAATTTTTATAAAATATATTTCTATTTAATAATGTATAAGCATCATTTAGAACGCAATTTAATGAAAAAGCACCTAAAACACCTACTTTATTGTTTAAATTAAATTTTTTAATTAATGCATTTATACTAAGTTCAATAATGTCATCATTTATAAATTTTTTAGGTGATAAACTTATAAAATTATTATTAAAATTATAATTTTTAATTTTAATTTTACTAATAATCATATCAAAATCATAACCTGTTTTAAATTTTTTACAACTAATTTTTCTATTTTTTTCTGTAAATAATTTCATTGCAAAAGATATATTTAAATCATAATTAACTTCACTTCGATCATTTATTTCTATCATTTCTATATCGCTATCGCTACTGATACTTTTATCTAATTCACTATTTAATGTTTTATTTTCAATTTCATCTATTTTATCTAATTTTTTAAATGCTTTTTTTCCAGGTAAATAATTTTTATCTTTTAAATCACTTGTTATTAAATTGGTTAAATTAATCTTAATTTTTTCATTTTCTATTGATTCTCCTAATTTTAATCTAATAGCTAAAATGTGGGAACAATATTTAGATTTTAAATTACAACTGCATTTGTGTGAAGGAAATAAAGTTATACTAAATTTTTTTATTTTATTGTTATTGTCGTTAACATTAATTATAAATCCTGAATCGCCTAGAATTATTTCATCATTTTTTAAATGTAATTTAGCTAAATCAAATGAATATAATTGACTTATTTTAAAAATTTCATCTGTAGGTATTTTTTCTTCAATATTTAAAATTTCATCTATACTTTTATATTTATGTTCACATATAATTTTATAATCTTTAGGATAGTATTCGTTAATTTTATATTGACCCATGTTTAACTTAGATCTGTAAAACTCATATAAATAAAAGTTTTGTAATTTATATAAAATTAACAATAAATTGTCAATAGAGTTTAATTTATAATCAACTACCCTTTTTATAACTGAATTCATAGTTTCAGAGTTATTGGTAGTGGGTAATTTGTTTTGAAAACATTTATAATTTTTAGAGCTAGCTAAACAACAATAAGTTTTTATGTCAGTTATTAAATTATTTTCATAAAAACTAATAATTTTATCATTATTTTTAAATTTCTCTAAAATTTCTAAATTAATTTCATTAAACTTTTCATAATTATCACATTCAGTTAATTGTCTAATATAATTTTTAAATTCTTTTCCTTCAGATGAAGTAAAATATTTACATTTATTATCATTTATAAACATTTTAACATTTTTATAAATATGATTTGAACACAAGAAAAAATTTAAATTATTTTCTTTTAATGTATTAACTATAGCTTTTTCCCTGTCACACACAAAAATAGTATTTTTAAAATTATTAAAATTCAATTCCTGCTTTAACAAATTAAAAAAATTTAAATGATTTTTTTGTCTTTTAGTTGTATGGATAAAAAACATAACAGGAAATATTGGGTAATTTTTTAAAAAAACATTTCTACATGTAAGTATTGATAGATAATAATGTGTTAAATCATACGTTGTGTCGTAACTATACAATTGCATAACATTACTTTTTTCATTTGTTTTTTCTTGCATATAATTTACCAATTTAATTATTTCATTTGATCCTAAAAAAAAAAAAAATTAAAAAACAATAATAAATATATTTTAACTTACCACAAATAACATTTATTTCAGGTAAAATTGAAAATTGTTTTATAAAATTTGGTAGATTATAAGATATTAAAATTGTATTATAAATTTTATCTTTACTTAATTGTTTTTTTGATTTTTCATAATATAATTTATTGCTGACTTGTTTAATATTTTTTGCTGTGTAAATTTTTTCGTAAACTTGATTTAAAATATTTTTATCATCTAATTCTTGACTTGTCGTTTCTAGTGATTTTCGGTAAATATTGGACGGATTATTTAATCTAATCCTTTTAAATGATTCAAGGACTTTTTTATGGGTTTTAATCTGTTTTCCAACATATTTTGCAGTTTTATCATCTCCTGAATAATGAACAAATAAAACAATTCTTTCATTATTACTACTATTGTGTGTAACAAAATAGACATTTCTTTGAAAATTTCTTGTTTTGTAATGTTGCTTAGACAATAATGTTGAAGTTTTTCGCGCACCACTTCTTTGCTCCCAAATATATTTATCTTGTACATTTACATTTCGGGATTCATTAATATATAAAAATGACTCTCCAGATTTTGCCAAAATTGGACAATAAAACATATAGTATTGTTTATATTTATCATCTGTTAAATACTTATATATTTTTTCACTTGTAAAATAGTTGCTGATTTTGAAAACTTTGTTTTTAATCATATCTATAATGTAAATAATGACACTTTAATAAGTATATAAAATTTAATTATTATTACAAACCTGTATCATCTGTTATATTATTTTCATAATTTTTTTCATTTTCTATATTTATATAAATAAACACAGTAACAAAAAAAATATTTTAATTTTTATTATTTATATATATTTTATTATTACAAATACAGATTACATACCGTTTCCTCTATTTCCATATTCATCATCACCGCCTCCTCTTACTTGTCCTCCATATTCACCGGCAGCTCCTTGTCCTCTATATTCACCGGCACCTTTTTGTCCTCCATATTCACCGGCAGATCCTTGTCCTCCAGATTCACCGGCAGCTCCTTGTCCTCCATATTCACCGGCAGCTCCTTGTCCTCCATATTCACCGGCAGCTCCATGTCCTCCATATTCACCGGCAGCTCCATGTCCTCCATATTCACCGGCAGCTCCTTGTCCTCTATATTCACCGGCACCTTTTTGTCCTCCATATTCACCGGCAGATCCTTGTCCTCCATATTCACCGGCAGCTCCATGTCCTCCATATTCACCGGCAGCTCCATGTCCTCCATATTCACCGGCAGCTCCATGTCCTCCATATTCACCGGCAGCTCCTTGTCCTCCATATTCACCGGCAGCTCCTTGTCCTCTATATTCACCGGCACCTTTTTGTCCTCCATATTCACCGGCAGCTCCTTGTCCTCTATATTCACCGGCACTTTCTTGTCCTCCATAACCATCACAACCACAACCTTGTGCCATACCAGAATTACTATTTCTATCACTGCCACTGCCGCCTTCTTCTTGTCTTCCATAGCCATCGCTTCCTCCTCCCTGACTGTCATGAAAGTTACCTCCATGTCTTCCCCCAACGTAACCACCATCGTCTAAGAAAATATATGATGAAAAATATTAATATTAATAATATTCATAAATAATTACTTAATTGATTTTTTAAAAATATTTTAGATTAATTCAAATCAATATTTATCAAATTAATTAGATTAAAATGATAATTATAATAATACTAATAAATATATTTACAAAAATTGTTTTTTAATAATAATGTTTTTTATCTCAAAAAACTAGTAAGTTAATTATTAATTATTAATAGTTAATTATTTTAATTAGTTATTAATTAATTAATTATATACTTCTGCCAGTCTCTCCACCAGAACCGCCAATATTTCCACGACCGCCATAGGCATCACCACCTCCTACACCATCATAACCTACATCGCCGCCTCCAACACCAGTTTCTAGTCCATTGCTTTCGTCAACATATCCGCCTCCTCCGGAGCCATCATAGCCTCCGCCGCCACCATAACCTCCTCCAGAAACGCCATTACCAGCAATACCGCCGCCGTCAACAGAACCTCCGTAACCACCATAATCTACTCTTCCACCACCGTTTGAACCGCCGTTACACATTAGAAAAAAAGTATTTTTCATTTTTATTTAAATTAATAATATTTTATTGTATTATTTAATTAGATTTAATAACAAAATAAAAAAATATAATTAAAAAAATATTTATTAAAAAAATAAATTTAAAAAATAAATTAAAAAAATTAATTTAAAAAATTAATTAAGAAATAATAATTATAAAATATATTAATTAAAATATATTAATTTAAAAAATTAATTAAGAAATAATAATTATAAAATATAAATTAGTATTTATAATTAATTAATTTAAAAAGTGTTGTTTACATTTTATATACACTTTGTATACATATATCATTGTCATCAATTTTATCTTTGTTTTCTTTAGCTACAAGTAAAACTGTAAGTATTCATTAATTAAGTATATTATAATTATAATAAAGTATTATATTAATTTAATAATATAAATAATATAAATTTTATAAATAGTTACAAAAATGGGAAAAAGAGGCCGATATTGCCGGATCCGCAATAGCAATTTCCGTATTACAGATAAAAGTGAAAGTTTAAAAATTGAAAACATTTTAACTTCAATATTGGCTCTCGAAAAGGATATAAATAGAAAATTGAAAATAACTGAAATAACTGAAAGCAACAATAATTACACTAACGAAAAAAAATTGGAAATTATTGGTGAAATACTTTTTAAAATAAAAAAAAAAGTAAATCTATTAGAGAAAAAAGTACCGTGTCTACCCATTTCTTCAACCGATACCAACAAAAAATAACCGAAAGCAATTAATACAATTCCAATCCCATTCCTTCCAAATCTCAATTGATTTATTAATAAAATGATTTGATGTATAAATTTATTTTATAAATTAAATAATGGAAATAAAATATTAAAGTATTAAATAAATAAAACCGATAATATTTTTATGATAGTGGAATGACTTAGTGGTTATGTTAAAAATAATGAAACTGTTGATAATGATTTAGTGTTTATGTTGTTGGTGGTACGGCTACATTTTACTCTATTGCCTGCTAAGTAGGCGGCTATAGGGGTATATTTAGGTTTGGTATGATGTCTAGTATTTGTATATAAAATATTAAAGACTGAAATCAAAAGTAATAATACATAGTATATATAATAATATACACATAATAAAATACATATAATATACAAGCTCAACAAATCCATTAAATCTAATCAGACATAGCTTGCGGCCTATAGCCCGCCATTAGCATAACCTAACCTAACCTAACCTAACCTAACCTAACCTAACCTAACCTACCCTAACCTAACCTAACCTAACCTAACCTAACCTAACCTAACCTAACCTAACCTAACCTAATCTAACCTAACCTAACCTAACCTAAATCAAAGGCCATTAGAGGTATAATATAATCATTACACTACTGAGGTTCTACAAAAAACTGATAAATCTTGTATTCATGTATAATAAATGTATAGTAATAATTACATTATTTTATATTTATATATATTTTTAGTAATAATTTCTGAACGCCTTCACTCAGTCTCAAAAATTATTATATATTTTTACTAAAGATTATCTCCAACTTAAATATATTTCCCACCCGCGCCTCTGGTGAAGGCCATATAATAAACTCTTCCCGGTGGGACTTATTTTAGAGAAAATTGTTTTGTAGCAAATAGTTTAATATAATATAAATTTTATTAAAATAAATTAATCAATAAATTACATTAAATAATTTTTGCATTTAATTACATTTAAATTTGTATATTGGAATAATTTCTTAATTTTTTTTAAATTTATTATATAATTTAATAATAATTCATAAATAAAATAACTGTTAGAATGTTATCTATAATTAATGTTATATAATTAATATTACTAGTCTAGATTATTCAACTCATATTCTTCTGCTGCTGATACCCGTCTAGGTGATCGAGTTTGTCTTGAACGATTTATTTTTTTTATTGTATTTTTTTTTCTATTAAAAAAAGCATATGCAATGAATACAAGCGTTGCACATATTACTACAAATACAATAATCCAACGTAAATCCATTCTCTCAATGCTGTACCAATCGTTACTATCTTCATCTAACTTATCGATATCTTTACCTTCTTTTTTTACATCATCGGTATATTTTTTGACATTTTTGTCTAAAGTTGCAAATAAATTATCCTTGTCTTTAAACAGGTAATTGTTTCCGTTAGCAGTATGAACTGGGCTAATAAATAAAAAAATTTATAAAATAATAATTTGATTTAATAAAAATTATAATATAAAAAATATCTTACTTAAAATGTTCAAGATGAGAAATAACATGAGATGCGGAATCTATCAAATCTTTTCCTTCATATGACACCTTATAAAAATTTATTTTATATTATTAATTTTTGAAATTTATATATATTACTTTTATTCCGTCGCTTATGAAAATTGGAAAATTTGAGCAGTTATAAGCCGATCCATCTAAAGTTATTATTCCTGGTTGGCAATATAATATTGTGCCACTTTGTGTAATTTTAATTTGCAGATATTCTCCGGGTTTTGTATCGTTAATAGGATGACATACTGTTGTTTTCCACATATCTAAATTAAAAACATTTTGTTAATATTTAATAGTAATTTAATATTAAATAAATGTTTACCTTTATCATTGTACTTTTCTTTTCTTTTAATACACGTGCTATCAGCGGGCTCTAACAGTTTTGTACCAGGACTTAGATTCTGATTGATTTCCTTCAAACATCCCTTTTTTTGACTAAACATTTATAAAATTAGTATTTAAATTTAGTTTAATTTTTAAATGTATTACTAACTTATAGAAAAAATACTGAGGACCAATATATTCTACAACGCAATACATGTTTTCAAATTGTCTTAATAATTTGAATGAATCTGCTTTTAAAACTACATATTTTTCACTTGGCTTGAAAACTTTAGTTTTAAAATACAAAGTTTGATTTAATTTATTTATGGCACATCTTAATGGAAAAACGACATTTTCTGGACTGTATCTTAAATAGCTTGGTATATTAGGCAATGATAGTTTTAAATAATACCAAAGTGGGGCTGAAAGCTTTTGTTGTCTCCAATTTCTAAAAAAATAATAATGAATATATTTATATAACATTAGTACTTACGTAATAAATTGATAGGTTTCCATCTCTAAAAATTTTAATTCACTCATAACTTTTGCCAGATCATACGCTTGATATTGTAATGTTTGAAAACTTTCCGTTAATGTTACGTTATATTGTAATAACTTAAATAAGAAAATTAAAATTATAATATAAATATTAAAATAAATTATATTATAATTACGATTTTTTTAATAGATAGTGTTATCTCAGTGATATCTTCTTGAGTTTTATAGTTGTCTTTAATAATCTGCCTAACATCACTCATTTCTTTTTCTAAATTGTTTATACGTTTTTTATTGTTATCAATTTTCTCATCATTTTGTACTGTTTTACTCAATGCTACACTTCCAATTACCAAACCTATTAAATGGGTTGTATTAAAATGATGAACAATAAATTTTAGTATATATAGATAAAAAATCTTAGCACTAAATTAACATTTTAATGTATATTTTTTTACCTGCTCCGGCTACCACCACAATTCCAATCAGTGCAATCACTAAACAAAAGACTTGTTAATAATTATAATAGTATATTTTTGTAAATTTAAAACTTACAAAATATAAAACGTTTGTGTATTTTATTACTCATAAAATTTGCCAAAGTTGATTGATTAGTTTGTTTGCATATTGTCTATTAAAAATGAGTAAAATTATTTTTATTTTATTTTAATAATTTAATTCAATAATTACCCCAATTTGATCCACAAAAATTTTATTATATGTTTTTTGACATTCATTATAAATAGTCTCATTTACTTCATTAACTTTTAATAAAAAACATGGACTCTCATATAAGCTTTCATATATGACATAACCCATACCTGAAAAAGTGTATTAAAACATATTTTTTTAAAATACAAATTGTTCTTACCATTAGTTACCATGACATCAGTTCTTTGATCAAATATGATAGGATCATACCGAACAATACCAAAAGTATCGTTATAAATACAGAAAGCAAAAATAATACAAAATAATTTATTAAAATTCATTGTTATATCTTTATAACAAAAAACATAAAATGATTTCTAAATAAATGATTTTTATAACATCTGTTTTAATATTAATAATTTTAATTAATTTTATATTTAATTAATAAAAGATTTATATATTTTTCTAGACTATTAGTACCTAAAATTTTTTCAAGTGGACCCTAGTTCCTAACTTTTTATTCTCTAGAACTTTTATATGTTTGACCGCAAGATCTGACCACCGGTTCTCGAGATACTCCCTGACCGCCACTTTTTTAATACAAATTTTTTATGTTTTATTTTTTTTGTGGTCCTCCTGGTGGACCTAAAATTTTTTCAAGTGGACCCTAGTTCCTAACTTTTTATTCTCTAGAACTTTTATATGTTTGACCGCAAGATCTGACCACCGGTTCTCGAGATACTCACTGACCGCCACTTTTTTAATACAAATTTTTTGTTTTATTTTTTTTGTGGTCCTCCTGGTGGACCTAAAATTTTTTCAAGTGGACCCTAGTTCCTAACTTTTTATTCTCTAGAACTTTTATATGTTTGACCGCAAGATCTGACCAACGGTTCTCGAGATACTCCCTGACCGCCACTTTTTTAATACAAATTTTTCATGTTTTATTTTTTTTGTGGTCCCCCTGGTGGACCTAAAATTTTTTCAAGTGGACCCTAGTTCCTAACTTTTTATTCTCTAGAACTTTTATATGTTTGACCGCAAGATCTGACCACCGGTTCTCGAGATACTCCCTGACCGCCACTTTTTTAATACAAATTTTTCATGTTTTATTTTTTTTGTGGTCCCCCTGGTGGACCTAAAATTTTTTCAAGTGGACCCTAGTTCCTAACTTTTTATTCTCTAGAACTTTTATATGTTTGACCGCAAGATCTGACCACCGGTTCTCGAGATACTCCCTGACCGCCACTTTT